ATATATATATATATATATATATATATATATAATATGTGTGCGCGCGCGCGCATACTTGTGTATGGACATGTGTATGGACATGTGTATATAAATGTCAAAGAAATTGCTAATAAATTTAATAAATTTATTAAATTATTATATATTAAATATAATATATTTTACTAATAATTAATAATACTTTGTAAAATACTAATAATAATATTGTGATTTCTTAGAAATTATTACTTGTTGATTTGATACTTTTATATAATAACTTCTTTCAAATACGCTATATTTTCTTCCAGAAAAGATGAAGATAAACCAGTGTCTCAAACAATTAATTTATTTGCCAATGATGGTAGCTTCTTGGATCAATTCAAAAAAATTGCAAGTAACAAAGGAACAGGAAAAGGGGAATTGATGTTTCCTTTGAAATTAGAAGAGAAAAAGGAAGAAAAAACTAGGGAAATTTCACAGGACAAGGAACGAAGAAGAAATAATGACAGAAATAAGATTGGGAGAATAAAAAAGAACGTAGAAGAGAAGATATTCATTGGGAGAAGAGTTCTGAGAACAGACATAACTCGTCTTCCAGTCCATCTCCGACTAGACGTCCAACATCTCAAAGTCCAGAAGCCAGACGTTCATTTAATCAAGTAACTTCTAATGGACAGCGTATGCAGCACAACCATCCACAATTTATTTCTCGGAATGGAAATCTATCTACTGTTCCTTCTCCTGCATCTCAACCTATGACACATCTTACTGGCGTACCATCACCTAATATGAGGAATATTGTAACCAATATACCTCCTCCGAATCTATCAAAAATGCCTCCTCCAAAAAATATGTGTAACACTTTCCCTAGACTTGATGATCGACCTGGAGATCCACGAATGCAAATACCATCACCTCATACGATTCGTCCACCTCCACCTCCACCTCCACCTCTACCTCCCCTTCCTGTGCAACCTCCTCAACCTGTTCCAAATACTAATATACCTCCACCAAATATTCATATGTCTCGAACAATATCGCCCAATTTACAAAGTTTACCACCACCACTACCTTCACCAAATCCATTAGCACCTTTATCATCTTCTTCGACATCATCATCGACATCGTCGTCATTATTGTTGTCATCACCGCCACCACCACCGCCTTTATTATCGTTATCTTCTTCCTCTGCTTCCTGTTCCACTTCCTCCATTATCTCCTCTTCATCCTCCTCTGTCACCACTTCTTCTTCCTCTTCTACATTGATATCAACTGGCTTACAACTTCCCTCATCGATAACATCGCCGTCACCATCGCCATCGTCGTCATCATCGTTATCGTCACTACCGTCGCTACCGTCATCATCAGCGTCGCCGTTGTCAGCATCATCGTCATCGAATCAATTGCCACTATCTTCGTTGTCGTCTACGTTATTAGTGTCATCAGAATCAGACACCCGACAACATGTACTTTCAACCGGACCTCAGTGTGGTGTACCACCTCCAGCACCATTGCAACCTATGAATTTACCGCCTCCAAACATTCCTCCTCCGAATTTGTTACCAACAATGACGCAAATACCACCAAGTATAATGCCAATTCCGGCGTCACAGACAATTGTGGTCAGTGTACCGAATGCATCAAACGTGCCAAATGTTCCAAATGTTCCACCGCCAAATGTGATACCATCCGTAATGATGTCCGCTCCACCACCAGTTCACAATGTGCCGTCGAGTATAAATTCAGTTCCTCCGCCTAATTTGAATATTCCACCTCCGAATGTGCCGCCCCCTTCCCTAATCCAAAATGCCGGGCCACCACCACTTTCTTTAATGTCAACCAGTTATCCTCTTCCTAATCAAGTCGCTCAGGTACCTATGGGACCACCTAACATACAAGTGCCACCACCAGTGAGGCCATTGACTGGTCTACGAGCCTCTGAGCAGCTAGGTACGATATGTCGATTATTTTCATTTAATTTCTTCATTTCGACGTATCGCCGCGTGTTTACATTCATGAAGAACAAGTTGTTCCCTTGTAAAACGGACCACTTGTTCACGCAATCCAGAGTATGCGTGCGTGTGTGCGCGCGCGATACGCCGAATACAAGACAATCGTGGGCAAATACGAAACTTGCGAAAAGCAAATTCGTGCAAGATTGATCTATTCGTGTAGACGAATATCGTGTTCTACACTACAGAAACAAAAACAAAAACCAGAGTTTTAGCGTTGTTACGCATGTCTGACAAAGGCTTCTAAGTGTGTCCCGTAGAGGCTGAGCAGTTGGCACGCATCGTCGCTGAGTGTGGGGATGAAATCGAACAGGAAGCGCGAGAGAAGAATGCCCAAGATCCTAAATTATGGTAACTACTGTCCTCACTGGTCTCCATCTGTAGTCTCTTAACGTGTCGCGTTATTATTTAACACATTTTCTTTATTTCAACACTTATTTCTTACATATTGTTTCTTTTTTTTTTAAATTTTTAATATTCTAAATAAGTGAGATAATATATTAATAATCAACAAAACTCGTCGAATAGTATCGTAATTCTTTCGCTACTGTATTTCTTTTTTTTTTTTTTACGAATAATGAAATCATATTGATAATATGATAATATTTAACGATACGTAAAATGCCTTTCTTTCTTTCTTATTATTTTATCTTTTTCTTTTTCTTAATAACGATACAAATTTTTTTTTTGTTAATATATATTGTAATATTTATTGTAATTATTTTTTTCACGAGATGGAGATAATAGTTGAAGATTTCAATATTAACGAGTAAATTAAAATAAATTTATTATTTTACATATGCAAATGCAAATTTACGAATCGTTTTCTTACAAAATTACTATATTTCTTTCAATCTAAAGGAATCTAATTTAGGAGACTATGTTACTCGTCAGAGTCTTAAGTATTATTTTAATCAAGGTTTCTGCACCAAAAGCAAAGTGCAGCCTATCTGCAGTACAGGGGATTGGTGGCAAAATTTCGCGCCGATAAATCCTCTAAGGAAGTAAAAACAGTGGTGCGGAACTCTATTGTCCGGAGGAAGCTCTCAGCGACAATGACGATAGTGATCAAGGCCCCATTTCTAACAAACATATTTCTTCACAAGGTAAATATATATATTGTGTTTTGAATCGAGTCGTCAATCATGATGTTATAATTTTGATATTTACTTTATATTTTTTATATGAGCAGAAAAAAAGCGAGAGAGAGAAATTGAGGATAATTCTATAAAAGAGGATAATAAGGAAGAACGTAAACGAAAAAGACGTAGCCGATGGGGTGATCCAGATAATAAAGTGCCCATATCAGAAATAAACACGATGACCACTCATAGTAAACAACAAAGCAGTAGCAGTTTCTCACAGCCGGGTATTGCAATTCCTGGACAAATTGGACAACCTGCTGTTATAATACCTCCGCCGAAAGTGCAACGTACTGAAACAAAAAATCCTATGTTGACTAAAATATCAAGAAACGATCCAGCTTTGATACAATATGCTCGACAAACTTTCGGTACTTTGGATCTTACCGAGGAACAATGGAAGAAAGCCGAGGATCATTATAAGGTAATAAAATTAAATGTAAAATTTGATCTCAAATTCATTATTTTGATTAAATTTCTAGAAAATCGTATCGACTCATTTTTCATTTTAACTTTTATTTAGATAAATCTTCTATATCAAAATTTATTAAGAAAACGAGAAGAAGTAAGACGTTTGGAAGCACAGGGTAAACACAAATATGAATACGATAGTGATGAAGAAACGGAAGGTGGTACTTGGGAGCACAAACTTAGATCTGCCGAAATGGAAGCAACACAAATGTGGGCAGAAGAATTAACAGCCCAAGCGGAAGGAAAACATCATATTGGTGATTTTTTACCACCAGACGAACTGAAGAAATTTATGGAGCAATATAATGCGGTTAAGCAAGGGAAGAACCTGATCTTAGTGATTACAAGG